ACTGGAAGTCCTAGCCAGAGCAATAAGACAAGAGAAAGACATCCAAGGAATCCAAAATAGGAAAAAGAAGAAGTCAAACTATCACTCTTTGCAGATGATATGATAATATACATAGAGAACCCCCAATCTCCACAGAAAAACTAATTCAACTCATCAATCAATTCAGTAAAGTGGCAGGATACAAAATTCAACACGCAAAAGTCAGTAGCCTTCCTATACACAAACAACAAATCTGAAAGAAGAAGAAATCAAAAAAACCATCCCTTTTATTTATCGAAACAAAAAAAAATCAAATATTTGGGAGATAAATCTAACAAAAGAGGTAAAGGACCTATACAAAGAAAACTATAAAAACACTGTTTAAAAGAAATAGAAGAAGACACTAAGAAAATGGAAAGACATTCCCTGCTCATGGATTGGAAGAATAAACATTATTAAAATGGCCATCCTACCAAAAGCAATATACAGATTCAATGCTATTCCAATCAAAATTTCAATGTCATTCTTCAAAAAGAAATAGAACCAATTATTGAAATTCATATGGAATCACCAAAAACCCCGAATAGCCAAAGCTCTACTGAAAAAAAAAAGAAGGGAATGGAGGCATCACACTCAGACTTCAAACTATACTACAAAGCCATAATCATCAAAACTGCATGGTATTGGAACAAGAACAGACATACAGACCAATGGAATCGAATAGAAAATCCAGAAATAAACCCACAGATTTATGGTCACTAATCTTTGACAAAGGAGCAAAGACTATGCATTGGAGCAAAGAAAGTTTGTTCAATAAATGGTGCTGGGAAAACTGGGTCGCTACATGCAAAGAATGAAGCTTGACCACTACCTCACACCATACACAAAAATCAACTCAAAAATGGATTAAAGAACTAGACATAAGACCTGAAACCATAAAATACATAGAAGGAAATATAGGCGAAACACTACGGATTTGCACATCAAAGACATCTTTACAGACACATCACCCAAAGCAGTGATAGTGAAGGCAAGATCAACAGCTGGGACTACATCAAATTAAGGAGCTTCTGCAACAGCAAAAGAGACAATAACAAAAACAAAGAGAAACCCCACCAACTGGGAGAACATTTTTGCACCCAACACTAATGATAAAGGACTGATCACAAAAATCTGCAAAGAGCTGATGAGACTCAGCAACAACAAAGAAAATAATCCAGTCAAAAAATGGGCAGAAGAGCTAAAAAGAAACTCTCTGAAGAGGAAATGCAAATGGCCAACAGGCATATGAAAAAATGTTCAACATCACTTGTAATCAGGGAAATGCAAATCAAAACTACCATGAGATACCATCTCACACCAGTGAGAATGGCACATATTAAAAAAACTAGCAACAACAAATGTTGGCGAGGATGTGGAGAAAAAGGAACTCTTGTGCACTGTTGGTGGGAGTGCAAACTGGTCCAACCACTATGGAGAGCTGTGTGGAGATTTCTGGACCTACTAAACATAGAGCTTCCATATGATCCAGCAATTCCACTCCTAGGTATTTACCCAAAGGACACAGAAACATCAATTCCAAAGAGCACCTGCACTCCTATGTTTATAGCAGCACTGTTTACAATAGCTAAGCTTTGGAAACAACCCAAATGCCCAAAAATAGATGACTGGATCAAGAAGATGTGGTACATATACACCATGGAATATTACTCAGCATTCAAAAAAGATAAACACATGCAATTTGCAGCAACATGGATGGCACTGGAAGGGATCATGCTCAGCGAAATAAGCCAAAAAGAAAAAGAAAAATACCGGATGGTCTCACTCATAGCAGGAATCTAGAAAACTTAAATAAGGGACCAGGAAAATGAATATAAGAAAGTGAAAATCAAAATCAACAAAAAACTATGAACCAGAGACACTTTTTGGGGGGTGGGGGGCGGGAGGGGAAGGATTGGGGTCAGAATGGGGCGTTTGCAATTGTATGGGGGAATATAAAAATAAAATTTAATATTTAAAAAAAAAAATAAAAAAAAAATAAATAAATGGTGCTGGGAAAACTGGGTCGCTACATGCAAAAGAATGAAGCTTGACCACTACCTCACACCATACACAAAAATCAACTCAAAATGGATTAAAGAACTAGACATAAGACCTGAAACCATAAAATACATAGAAGGAAATATAGGCGAAACACTACGGGATTTGCACATCAAAGACATCTTTACAGACACATCACCCAAAGCAGTGATAGTGAAGGCAAAGATAAACAGCTGGGACTACATCAAATTAAAGAGCTTCTGCACAGCAAAAGAGACAATAACAAAAACAAAGAGAAACCCCACCAACTGGGAGAACATTTTTGCACCCAACACTAATGATAAAGGACTGATCACAAAAATCTGCAAAGAGCTGATGAGACTCAACAATAACAAAGAAAATAATCCAGTCAAAAAATGGGCAGAAGAGCTAAAAAGAAACTTCTCTGAAGAGGAAATGCAAATGGCCAACAGGCATATGAAAAAATGTTCAACATCACTTGCAATCAGGGAAATGCAAATCAAAACTACCATGAGATACCATCTTACACCAGTGAGAATGGCACATATTAAAAAAACTAGCAACAACAAATGTTGGCGAGGGTATGGAGAAAAAGGAACTCTCGTGCACTGTTGGTGGGAGTGCAAACTGGTCCAACCACTGTGGAGAGCTGTGTGGAGATTTCTGGACCTACTAAACATAGAGCTTCCATATGATCCAGCAATTCCACTCCTAGGTATTTACCCAAAGGACACAGAAACATCAATTCCAAAGAGCACCTGCACCCTATGTTTATAGCAGCACTGTTTACAATAGCTAAGCTTTGGAAACAACCCAAATGCCCAAAAATAGATGACTGGATCAAGAAGATGTGGTACATATATACCATGGAATATTACTCAGCATTCAAAAAAGATAAACACATGCAATTTGCAGCAACATGGATGGCACTGGAAGGGATCATGCTCAGCGAAATAAGCCAAAAAGAAAAGAAAAATACCGGATGGTCTCACTCATAGCAGGAATCTAGAAAACTTAAATAAGGGACCAGGAAAATGAATATAAGAAAGTGAAAATCAAAATCAACAAAAAACTATGAACCAGAGACACTTTTTGGGGGGTGGGGGGCGGGAGGGGAAGGATTGGGGTCAGAATGGGGCGTTTGCAATTGTATGGGGGAATATAAAAATAAAAAAAATAAATAAATAAATAAATAAATAAAAGACAAAAAAAAAAAAGAAATTAAAGCTTGTAAACAAGAAAATAACATGTAAAAAACTCACTAGGTGAGACAAAGTTTTTAGAGAAAGTTATGGAAGCAGAATAGACCAACTAGAGGACTGAGACAAGGACCTCAAAGATAATGCACAAAGGACCCAGATGAAAGAAGAGAGTAAAATGAAAGGGGGGGAAAAATGAAGAAACACTTTGAGATCTGGCTGACCCCCTTACAGAAGGCAACATAAGAAAAATAGGTATCCCAAAGGGGAAGAGAAGGGATGTATCATACAGCTTATTCAAACAAATAAGGCCAGATGTCACAAACCCACAGCTAACATCATACTCAAAGGTGATATACTGAAAGCTTTTCCTTTTAAGATCAGGTATAAGACGAGAATATTCACTTTCACCACTACTTTTCATTATAGCATTGGAAGCCCTTGCTGGAGAAACTAAGCAAAAGAAAGCTATAAAACTTACCCAAATTAGGGCTTCCCTGGTGGCACAGGTGGTTGAGCACCAGACTGTGACACTGTCCGCAGCCTCTGCAGCACAGGTTCTATCCCCGCCAGCCCGGCCAGCAAGAATCTCACAGAGTGCAGCAGACCTCTCCTGTCTCGCCCGCTGCTCCCCTCAGCAGTGTATTTTGTCAATCTGCCTGTTCTGTGCCCCACTCTGTCTCTGGTGAATCCTCTCACCCTCCTGCACACCTGGCCTGTACCCTGGTTCTTGTATAAATAAATAAATCTTTAAAAAAAGACAGCATTTATTTAAAAAAAAGAAAACCCAAATTAGGAAGAAGTAAAACATTATCTATTTGCAAATGAGTTAACATACATAGAAAACTCTAAAGAATAGATGAAAATCTGTAGAAACAAATCAGTACAGTAGACCATAAAATCAATATGCAAAAATTGATTGCATACCTATATACAAACAATGAAGTAGAAGAGAAGGAAATAAAGCTATTCTAGTTTACTATTGCATCAAAAAAAAAATTAAATATCTAGCAGTAAGCTAAACAATGGAGGTAGTACCAGAACAATGAAAACTTTAAGACGTTATTAAAATAGAGGAACACACACTTGGAAAGAGGTTCCACGATCATGGATTGAAAGAATCAACATTTTTATGATGGTCATCTAGCCATCCATAGCAATGCCAATTTTAGAAAACTTCAAAATAAAATGATATATGTACAAAATTGTTCATTATAGTATTGGTTATAGTGACAAGGGACTGGAAACACAGTAAGTTTAGCAGTAGGTTACTGGCTAAATCATGTTTCCTCCATCATTTAGAATATGCAACCAAAAAATTAAAGAGTATGTAAAGACTTCTGAGACACACAGTTCAAAAACTGTGTTTAGCATGCTAGCATTTATATAAAAAGGAAATGATCTTTATTGGTTATATACAAAAATATAAATAAGAACTTACAAATAGGCATTACTTGTAGAGATGCAGGAAATTAATGAGAACTAGATGATGTACTAGTGATGATGTGTGAAGGGAAGGGGAGTTGCCGTGTCTATTTATGAGTATATAGAAAGATATATAAACATGCATATAAAGTTTTAACTAGTTACTTTAGGAGTATAGCTCTTCTTTCATAGTCTTTAAATTACTTGTTAAAAACAACACATATTGCTTCATTTTTAAAAATGAGACAATAAAATAAAACATTTTTATTGATATATTTTGCCACAAATTTAAGGGAAATTTGCCAAAATGTAAAGTATAAACATTTTGTTTTGTAGATGATCACTATATGGATATATGATCCAGAAAATGCAGCCCCAGATGAATTGCAATGGATTGCAGATAAACCTTCAGTGGTGGGTGAAAACATCATTATTATAACAGATAAAATATGGTCCTTGTCTTTTTTTCCAGTTGTGCATATTTCACCAAATCACCCCCATTGGATTAGTAAAATTTATTTTAGCCATAATAGTGATTTTTGAATTTGGCTTGGTGTCAATGACTTAAAATCTTTCCCTCGAATTCTTACTGAGATTCTCTGTATTCTCCATGAACTTCATTATTCATGAATGGGCTGACCATTAATATATTCGGAAGATGCTCCCTAAACTAGATACTTGAAGATACCTCCCAAAATATGTCCAGTGCCTTATTGAAATTTTTACCACTTAGAGGCTAATGAATTTCCTAACAGTTCAACACAATGAAAAAATAAATCCTGTCTTTTAATTCTTGAACATTTACCTCTTTCAAAACTTAAATTCTGTTTTCTATTACATTTAAAATGTATTGAAAAAAATATAAAATAGGCAGTTAGCTGACTATTAGTTTATCATGAGACTGTCTACATCTAATGTATCAATTAGTAAGTTTTTTTGTTTTGTGTTATCATGACTCTTGGTAATCAAATTCACAGAGATGAACTAATAAATCAGAATGATAACCAATCAATTAATCATTTTATTTGGCAATCAACTTCAGAGGGAATAAAATAAATTAATGGTAGTTAAACACAGTAAGGATTACTGTTACTTGTTTTAAATCAATTTAGGTGAACATATGCACATTCTAACATCATTTAGTCCATTATGTTTTCTTTTCAATCTCCAGGTTTATATATGGCCATATCATTTCCTTGAAATTTTGCTATGGCTCTCAATTACAAACAGCATAACTTACTCTTTCACATTTTTATAGAGACATAATTGGCATATAACTTCATATTAGTTTCAGGCATACAACATAATAATTTATGTATATATTGTGCAATGATCACCACAATAATTCTAGTTAACATCCAGCACCACATATAGTGACATTTTTTTCTCATTATGAGAACTTTTAAAAAATACTTTCTCAGCAGCTTTAAAATACACAATATAGTATTTTTTACTATGGTCACTTTGTTATACAATAAATCCAATTATACAATAAATCCCACTTACCTTGTAACTGGGGATTCCACATATAAGAGAAGAGAATTATTTAGTAATGCACTTTCTCTGCCTGGTGTACTTCACTTAACATAACATCCTCACCTCCATCAGTGCTGCTGAAAATGGCAGGGATTCCTTCTTTGTTTATGGCCTAATAACATTACACTGTATAATACTTGCTACATTTTTAATCCATTCACCCACTGATGGACACCTATTGGTTATTATAGATAATGCTACAAAGATTATAGAAGTTTTCTAGTTATTGATTATGTTTATTTCAAATTAAAGCCAGACGTGGAATTGCTGGACACTATATGGTAGTTCTACTTTAAATTTTTTGAGGAACTCTCACACTGTTTTGCACAGAGGTTGCATCAATTTACATTTCCACAGTGTACTTGTATTTCCCTTTATTTACATCTTTGCCAACCCTAAATTCTTGGCTCTTTAGTTAATATTCATTCTCACAGTTGTGAGGGGATATCCCATTGTGGTTTTGATTTGCATGTCCCTGATGATTAATGATGTTGAGCAGTTTTTAGGTACCTATTGTCTATCTGTGTGTCTTCTTTGGAAAAAAGTTCTATTTGGATACTCTTTTTCAATCAAATTGTTCATGGTTTTGTTATTGCGTTATATGAGATATTTTTATTTTTTGGATATTATTCTCTAATCATATATACAATTTCAAATATTTTCTTCCATTCACTAGGTTGCTTTTTCATTTTGTGATGGTTTCCTTGCTGCGTGGAAACCTTTCAGTATGATGTAGTTTCACTTGTTCATTTTTTCTTTTGTTGCTTTAGCTTTTAATGTCAAAAGTTAATGGTGAAGAAAACATTTTAATGGTGACTAAGGTATGGGGAAAGTAAGCAACATGCAAAGATATCCCAAATGCCATCATCAGACTTCTCAGCAAAAAGTCTATAAGCTAGAAGAGAGTAGAATGACTTATTATTCAGAATTATCAAAATAGAAAATAAAAACTCAGGCAAGAATATTCTACACAGAGAGATCTAGGATCAGCATGGCTGCTAAGAAATGCTACAAGTACATTTTCCCAAAAAAACAATTAATAGGGAGAAAAAGCGGCAGGTCCTTAAAAGAACTGGGATACATAAGATAAACTAGCGACACTGGCAAATGGCCGGAAGAGGAAAGTTGCAATAACAGAAGACAAGAAGATAGGAAGGCATCAGAACCCTGATACCATACACCCCAACCACGAAGCCGGCACACTCTGACCAACAGAAAAGAGAGAAAAACAAGAACTAGCTAGAGCTCAATCAGGATAGTGAGCAGAAAGGAACTACTGCAGGCACAAAGCCCTACAACCAGTAATGTGGGGAACTGTGGGGGAACAGTCAAGGAGGTGAGCTAGCAGCACTGGCACCGGGTAATCACAAACGTGGTGCTATTAGAGGAAGATAGGGACTGCAGAGAGACCCGCAAATGGCCAAAGGCCAGCCAATAACCTTGTGTGGAAAAGCACGCGCATGCGCCCATGACCTAGGATTATAGGGAGACACATAGGAGCATCTCTGAGGTGAATGACCCTCGCTGGATAATCAAAAACCAGGCACTTAGGCATTGGTTTGAGGTGCAAAAGGCACCATATCTGCAGGCACTGAACTGAGCTACCGCCCACACTCTGAATCTGAGGGCTTTGGAACTGAGAACTGGGGCACGAAATTTGGGACATGGGATCCCCATAATGGTGGGCCATAGGGCAGACACAGTACCCTACACCACTGAGGGACTCCACTCACCCCACACCCCACCCCACCCCCCACTCCCCAGAGACCTACGGGGAAAAAAGCACAATTTTGGAAGGATACGAGGAAAGATATCTCACCAAAGGACAGATCAATGAGACAAAAAATGAATAAAGACACTAGAGCCCTAAATAAAGACATACAACTGATGGGCTTAACAGACATCTATAGGACACTGCACACACAAAAAAAACCCAGTACACCTTTTTCTCAAGCATGCATGGATCATTCTCCAGAATCGATCACATACTTAGCTACAAGACAAACATCAACATATAAATTAAGATCAAAATCATTCTAAATATCTTCTCTGATCATAAAGGCATCAAACTAGATATAAATCATGAAAAGAAAACAAGAAACCCTCCCACTACTGGAAGACCACTGGACTAATGAAGAGATCAAACAAGAAATTAAAAAATACTTTGAGTCGAACGACAAGGAGAACACCAATTTCCAGAATGTATGGGATGCAGCAAAAGCAGTAATAAGAGAAAAATATATAGCATTACAGGCTCACATCAAGAAACAAGAAAAAACTCAAAGAAACACCCTAATCTCTCATTTCAAAGAACTAGAAAAAGAACAACAACAACAAAAAAAAATTAAAAACAGTAGAAGAAAGGGACTAATAAAAATCAGAGCAGAAATAAATGAAATAGAAATTTAGAAAACAATCCAAAAGATCAATGAAACCAGAAGTTGATTCTTCAAAAAAATAAACAAACTTCTAGCTAGGCTCACAAAGAAAAAAAATGGGAGAAAACACATAAAAATAGGATTATAAATGAAAGAGGAGAAATCACAACAGACTCCACTGAAATCAAAAGAATAATCGGAGATTATTATGAACACTTATATGCAAAAAATTTCAACAATCTATAAGAGATGGACAAATTCCTAGAATGACATAATCATCCAAAGATAAAGAAGAAATAGGAGACCTAAACAGACCACTTACAGGAAGCAAAATTAAAGCAGGAATCAAAACACTCCCAAAAACAAAAGCCCAGGCCAAGACAGCTTTACAAATGTATTCTGTGAAATGTTCAGAAATGAATTAGTGCCCATCCTACACAAACGCTTTCAAAAAATTGAAAAAGAAGGAATACTACCAAATATGTTCTACAAAGCCAACATTACACTAATACCAAAACAAAACAAAGACAACACAAAAAGAAAATTACAGGCCAATCTCCCTGAACACTGATGCAAAAATCCTCAACAAAATCCTTGCCAACAGAATCCAACAATGCATCAAAGGGATAATATACCACAATCAAGTGGGATTTATTCCAGGGGCACAAGGATGATTCAACATACAAAAATTGATCAGTGTAATCCAACACTTTGACAAAAAGAAAAATAAAAGCAATATGATCATATCAATAGATGCTGAGAAATATTCAACAAAGTCCAACATCCATTTATGATGAAGGCCCTTGAAATTCTTGGGATAAAAGGAATATGCATTAACATGATAAAAGCAATATATGACAAACCCCAAGCCAATATTATTCTCAATGGCAAAAAGCTGAAGGCCTTTCCTTTAAGATCAGGAACAAGACAAAGATGTCCTCTCTCACCACTGCTCTTCAATATTATACTGGAGGTCCTAGCCAGAGCAATAAGACAAGAGAAAGACATACAAGAATCCAAATAGGGAAAGAAGAAATAAAACTACTCCCTATTTGCAGATGATATGATAATATATAGAGAGTACCCTAAAAACGCCACAGAAAAACTAATCAACCAGTTTAGAAGTAGCAGGATACAAAATCAACACACAAAAATCAGTAGCCTTCCTATACACAATCAGTCAATCTGAAGAAGAAATCAAGAAACCCATCCCCTTTATAATTGAAACCCCCCCCAAAAATCAAATACTTGGGAATAAACTTAACAAAAGAGGTGAAGGACCTATACAAAGAAAATTATAAAACACTGTTAAAAGAAATAGAAGAGACAAAGAAATGGAAAGACATCCCCTGCTCATGGATTGAAAGAATTAATATTGTTAAAATGGCCATCCTCCCAAAAGCAATTTACAGATTTAATGTTATTCCAATAAAAATCTCAACAACATTCTTCAAAGAAATAAAACAAATACTGATGAAATTCAAATGGAACCACAAAAAA